AAAGGGGGACCCTTAGGGTCGGTAGGAGATCGAAAACATAAGGTAAGGGGAACCGCCCTACCCGCATCCACTAATTCTTGTTATCCGTCCGGATATGTATCTCCAGTGTTTACATAAATAGCATACTTATTTTTATTTTTCATTTTTTGAATTTATACACATCTTAAGTTAAGGATGTAAGTTTTAGTGTTGGCCTTGAAGGCCAATGATAACGTGACCTTGTTTTGGGCCACCAAAACGGTAAAGATGAGCGCTAGTTGTCTATTATTTATGCTCTACAGCAGTTATTCGCTAAACTTTGTTTTATTGAGAATAGTGAAGATTCTACCCAGGTGGAAGATACTTATACTAGACTACTCGTACGATAGAACTTCCTTCGTTTGACCCCCCGCTACTGAACTTCGGTTATATTTCTCTTTGCTATAGCTCTTTCTTTGCTATTTCATGGTTTCACTTGTGGATTCCGAACCCTCCAAATGTAAATAAAGTTTTAAATGAGGATTCCGGACCAGCTTGCAGGTTACCGGCTGCAGATACACTACTAAGTTTTGCAGCATCTTTCGACTCAAACACATAAAAAAACTATAGAACTGATTGCGGTGGGCCTCGAAAATCCGACTTTTTCGAAGTCAACTACCACGGAGGCCTAACTTGAAGGTGAGAAAAACGCGAAACATTAATATAAAAGTCTCAATGATATTTCTCCAACTTATATCAGAAACTCTAACTACTCCAACTGTTTTAGATCAAGAGCATACACAACGACAGCTGACAGGTACTTAATCAATTGGCACCAAGGTCTTGGCTAGCACCAGTGGCACCAGAAATCAAACTCTATAAGCAATCTAACTGAACTCAATATGAAATGTATATATGACATTCCCTTAAGTGGACTAATTTTAAATTGTAATTTAAAATTACGCAACAAATTAAGTTTTTGAGTTTTAGACCCGGCTGTCCGCCCTCTCCCTGGACATACAAACAAGTTTTCTTTTTAACAATTTTACAACTATCCACTGGACGTCACTTTCTTTATTTGTGTCCCGTTCCTTCTCTCCTTCCCCCTTGTTTCGCCTCGTTTTGAAAATACTGTCAGTAATGACTCCGCCTAATTTCGTCAACGCCGTTCGCTTTCTTGAACTTTTTCTCGATACCGCTTCGTCCGAATCCTGCGATTCCTGGCTCGAAGAAGGCACCAATCTTTGCTTCTTTGCGCGCTCCGCCATTTTTTTGAAATTTTACTTGCCTCTGCTCCGTCGCTCACGTTAAGCACACTGCTTGCTTTCCCGACATTGATCTCCTCCGCCAGCTCGGCATTCGAATGCTCTCCGTCGGATGACTTCGCTCCGATTTGCGTCCCCGTGGCTGTAACTGGCGTGCTCGACACATTCCTATGGCTAAGGCCAGCTTCCAGCTCGTTGTTCCCTGCTCCCACTGCAGGATATCTTGCTATCCGGAGTGGCTCGTATTCGGAATCAGAAGCTGATTCGTTTTCGTCATCCCAATTTTGCGACTTCTGTCGCGTCTATACCCGTACTTTTTTCGTGCCGCTTTCGTACACCTTTTTCGCTTCAACCTTTTTCTGTTCGTCCCTTCTTTTCACGTCGATCATAGTCGGAGGTTTGGGCAAAAAATTCTTTTGTCGATTCCGGTGCCGGTTTGCTGCTTTTTTCCGCGACTCCTTTTTTCTAAGAACAGATTCATTTTCTAGTGTGTTTAGGTATGCTTAGATTCTCTAATCACTTTTTGTTTTTATGGTTTATACTTTGATTGTGGTCTTTAATGCGTTGGAACAAAAGTTCCTTCCGCCTACTGGGACACCTGGGCGTCTGCTTTTCTGACTCCGGTTTCTTTATTCCCTCGGAGTTTCCGTTTCTGTTCGTATCCCTCGGCGCCGGACCCTTATCAGCTATAGCCACCAATTGGTCCTCCGCGAGCTTTCTCGGATGATTGATGTGCTCAACATCATACTCAGCATCTGAAGTCTCGGCCCAATTGGTCGCTCTCGGATGAGGTAGATTACTCGCGCGCTCTTCATTAGAATCTAAACGTGCAGACTTTTGTTTCAATACCTTTTCCCAATTGAGATTTTGTAACGACGGTTTTTTCGTAAGATTTCGGAGAAATGTATTTGCCTCCCGGTCGTA